ATAATAATGTCCTCGTAATTAAAGCGATGGCCGTCATTGATTATATTGTACATGTCTGACAACATCGACTGAAATAAAAATATTCTAGTAAATTAAGTGATGTCTACAAATAATAACTGGTATATGGTATATAAGTCTGACAAAATAGACTGAAAATGACTAAAGAATAAATATCCTAGCATAATTTTTTTCATTTCATGTTGCAAACATCTAGTATCTACTGTTCATCAGGGGTTTTATTCTTGTTGTTTTGGTGGTATGGAGAGACACATGGTTTTATGTTTTCCAGGAACTTTAGGATTGTAAGAAGGCTGGGAGAGTCCACAAAATAACCATCGGATATAACTTATTTTTTTAGATATGATATCTTAAGCTGTCAACTATCATTTGGCAAAGAAAATTTTCATACATTATAATTTCAAAATTTGATCATTTTTGCATATCTTTATATGGAACTCTTCTTCTTAAGGAGACCAAAATAGTCTAAAAATGGGCACAACCACCCTGCCCCTTTAAATGTGTAATAATGCTGCACTTCTTCAACCCTGAAACCCTTGAACCAATGTTTCTCCTCAATCATCAAATATTTAACCCCCCAAAAAATGTGCTTTTTCAGTATATACTTGAACAAGATGAGAGCTGCTCAACTACATGTAATTTACATGGTTATAGCATTTTTGTAATCAAGCTGTAAATATCTCTTTTTATTTAAAATTCTTTAGCATAATCTGTATACAATAATGTTCATGCAAGTCAGCAAATTTTAAAATTTGTGAGTTTCGTTTTCTACCCGGTAATTGTAATATTTTCATTCCAATATTAGAAACATTCTGACTGTTACAAGAGGATGTACATACCTGAGGCGTGGATTTCAGTAGAACATATTGTGTGTCGTATGAGCCGGTGATTGACCGACTGTAATCTCGGACCTCCAGAATAACACAGCCACTATAGAGCACGTTCACCTGTAATCAGAAAATCACCCATCACAAACAGACAGACAGACAGCTAGACTGACAGACAGACAGACAAACAGAATAACACAGCCACTGTAGAACACGTTCACCTGTAATCAGTAAATCACCCATCACAAACAGACAGACAGACAGAGAGACAGACAAACAGAATAACACAGCCACTGTAGAATACGTTCACCTGTAATCTGAAAATCGCCTATCACAGACATATGCTGAATTATAATACATCATAAATAGAATGCTTCCTATGAAGACTACAGTTTTAACTTCTAATTACACTGTGGGACATGGAGACCGGTCCTTCAGATGAGACCGTATAAACCGAGGTCCTGTGTCACAGTAGGTGCTGGCATGTAACAGATGCCTCACTTCTCAATGGCCTCGAATGCCGAGTATAAAACAAAATTTGCAGCTCTCCACCACAAATGGCTTCTCCATATGTGTGAAAAATTCTCAAGAGGGATGTTGAAAAACAACATACAAACAAACAAACTATCAGTTACAGACCTGAGCTTTCTCCAGAAGATCCACAAGGAACGGAGGAAGCTGTCAATAGAACAAAGAGAGAAATTATAATAATTATACACCACACCTAAAAAACACCCCAAAATTCATTTTTAATAGGACTCATTTATCTACAAAATACAGTTATCACACATCATTTTGATTTTCCTCTATTTTTGATCTTGTCAAATCTAAATATCTCACCTCAGAAGAGTCCACATAGTCCAGTAGCTCTGATACCTGTAAGGTAGAAATTGATGATTTAATATTTACATTTCCAATGTCTTTGTCTGTCGAGATAAAATTACAAATAGTTAATGTACTTTATTTCTCCATCAGTGTACTGGTTCATCGATGTGTGCGGTTTAAAAAAAATCATGTACAGTGTATACAATTCTAATGCAATCGTTTTGTAAAACACTTTTTTATTCGCTAATGCACTGATGTTTGAAGCAGTAAAACGAGCATTAGGTGTCACAACAGTATTAATTTCTGCTATATATTCTTACCAAAAATGCGCAAGTTTGAGTAGATGTAACTAATTCAAAACAAACTTCTGAGAAGTTTCCTTTTCAGATCTTGTAAAACCATTCTTTATAAAGATTTTAGTACCAAAAAATACATAGCCATCCAGCAAGGCACGCAAGTTTGTTTCGGTCGAAGTCAAACAGGTGCTTGAAAAGCTAGTCCAGGGCCTAATCACTCCCCACTCTTGACAGTATATAGAAAAATCAGCACGCCCTAAATTTTAATAAATCTGGTCAATACAGGAAGTTTACATGTTGTTTTTCATCTCATAAAAAAATTCAGCTCCAGTCTCGTATCAAAATGCCCGAATCGGAAGGGAAGATTCCGGGATCATTTTGCGTCAGCCATGATTTGACGTGAACCAAAGTATAATACTGTTATGACACCTGCAATTAAACTAAAATTTTGTCCTTGCCAGTATATTGCTATTTTCCCGATCTATGATGATTATTTAATGTATTTACCAAGTTTCATAAAAATCCGTCCCAAGATAGGAAAATTACGGGCAAAACTCTGTGACAGGGGGCTTCGCGGTGAACACAGATTTCTAAAAATATGGCAAAAGTTGAACTGTATGTAATGATCTTGCGCGTTAAACTTGTGCGGTTTTTTCGTTTTAATTTTTTAATGGATGCATACTGATTCACATGAGGATGAAAAATTGTTCAAAATAAGTTTGCTTTTTATAACAGGGCGAAAGAAATAGTTTTTGTCATAAGGTTGGGGGTGGGGTTAAAATGGGCATCGAAAAAATAAATATTATTGAAATATTAAGGTGTTTTCTGCTTAATTACGATTGATTTGCCTCAATAATTATTTTTTCCGACCGGATTTCTTTATCTGTTACCAATGTGTTCCAAATAAACCGATATTTACACATATTCAGAATTTTTATTTTGCTCCGAGTGTGGTCTAAATTTTTTAAATTTATAGATTTTAAAATTAACTATGAGTAAATAACGTTAACGAGTGTGATGGCAAGGTATTTTTTAAGCTGTCCTCTAAATTCCATGCATTTCTCTCAACCCGATACATCCAAATCAGGCCGTGGTGTGGCCAACATAATTTATTTTAGAGGAAATCTGGACTAATTTTCTATGCTCCATTAAACATGAACGAACAGCAATGAGGGTCGAAAAATGCCATTATTTCTCATTTTCCGTCTAAACTCACAAAATAAAACCTCAGTTCTTAGACTACAATATTTCTAAGTACAAAATTCGTTTTTACTGCAGGTGTCACAACAGTATTAATTTCTGCTATATATTCTTACCAAAAATGCGCAAGTTTGAGTAGATGTAACTAATTCAAAACAAACTTCTGAGAAGTTTCCTTTTCAGATCTTGTAAAACCATTCTTTATAAAGATTTTAGTACCAAAAAATACATAGCCATCCAGCAAGGCACGCAAGTTTGTTCCGGTCGAAGTCGAACAGGTGCTTGAAAAGCTAGTCCAGGGCCTAATCACTCCCCACTCTTGACAATATATAGAAAAATCAGCACGCCCTAAATTTTAATAAATCTGGTCAATACAGGAAGTTTACATGTTGTTTTTCATCTCATAAAAAAATTCAGCTCCAGTCTCGTATCAAAATGCCCGAATCGGAAGGGAAGATTCCGGGATTATTTTGCGTCAGCCATGATTTGACGTGAACCAAAGTATAATACTGTTATGACACCTTAACGAGCGTGAAAGCTTTTTCATTGTGACATCATAATAAAGCGACGCAAAAACACAACGCTCCGTGACGTATTTCATGTAACAAAATTCATCAAAATAAGACATAAACAACAAACAAAATGCATGGATTGCAATAGAATTAGGGAATAACTATCTTCTGATTTGGTATTTGCGACCGTTAATGCTGATTTAACGGTCGCAAACGCGTTGGCTCCGCTTACGCATCGCCAGTAAAACTCAGTTTGTGACCGTTAAATCAGCATTAACGGTCGCAAATACCAAATCAGAAGATAGTTATTCCCTAATTCTATATATTAAATCTGACCTCATATGGGAGCTTCAGTGTCTCTAGCTCTACCCCTCCACGCCCCCGTAACATAATGGAGTAGCCCTCATTTCCTGGGTACAGCTTGAGGATCAGACAATTCAGTTTGTCTCTCCTGACCAACTTTGACAGTAGATTAGAGGACAGCACAATATCCTGGAAAGCAAAATGTTGATTAGAAAAGTACACTGACAAAAACTACACAGGAATCCTACAAAGATTCACATACAGTCAAACCTCTCTACCATGAACTCTATGTAAGTGAAGATTCAATTAAGATACCCAGGCTAAAATATAGATTCTCAAATTACTTTAATGTATCCACAATTTTTAAGATCTCAGTGTTTTTGATGTCAAAAGTTTCAAAAAAGCTGTATATAAATACATGTATCTACCATATAGCTTAAAATGCAAGATCTTTTAAAAATTTACAATGAGTCAAATAATCATATTATCTGTTTAATCTAGAGAGGAATACATCTAGGCCATCTTTAAAACAGGGATGGGGTAATTGAAAAAAGTAATTGTAATTGGCTGTAATTAATTACATTTTTTGAAGTAATTGCAAGTAATTTGTAATTGAACATTTTTTCAATTACATGTAATTGTAATTTAATTAATTACACTGAATAAATACCATGTAATTTCAATTACTTTTTCAATTACATTCAATTACTTTATATGATACACATGTACATGAATTCAAATGATATACTGTCACCACTACCTCCCTATTTTACTACGTTTTTTTATTGCAAAACATATCCTCAATCCTTCAATTTTACAGATTGAAGTTAATCTAGTTTCTTTCTATTTAATATACAATTTTATAAAAAAAAATTTTTTTTTCATGTTTATCTGAATTTTGCACCACCCTTCCTAGGTCTATTCAGCTATGAAATACACATTTATTATATTTCAATCTTAAGTTTGTTGCTTGGTCACTGCAGAATATGTGTGTCAAGAAAAATAGAAAAGGAATGTGTGTCATTAATTAAGTTCTCTCTTGTTGATAAGAGATAATTGTCCTGCAGATCACAGGTGTAAATTGCAATGAAAACAAATCAACTCCTCTAAAGAGGTATTCATTCCATGATTAATAAGACAAAGCCAACACATGGGGATAATTATTTCAATTTCAAATGCTTTGCTAGTTTGAGAAAAGAAACACCTTCAATTTGATAATTATTTTAATGTCTAAACAGAATTTTATGAATGAATTTTGTATCTGAAAAAGTTTTGTTCTGTACAAATATTATTTATGAAGTAAAAATATTCTGCAGAAATAGCAATATCAGGAGTTTTAGATTAACTTCAAAAGAAATATTTAATTTGAGGGGTTACAGTTGTGACATATTACACTCTATTGAAATACCCCCGTTTAATCAAATATCATATCACATGCAGTTTGTGTACATGTAGGGTTTGTGTGGAGGAAACTGCATCAAACTGATCCCAAGTAGTTCTTCAGTGTTTTGTTAATAAAAGTTAAAATTTAAATCACAAGTATACAAATGGCTTTACCATACTATTTCTTGTATTTTTGTGCAGCGATCTGCTTTATGAATGATCCCTCTTCTGTATAATATTATTCATTGACAAGGATTATAGGATTTTCCAAAAAAATTGAAATGTAATTTGTAATTTAATTAATTACTTTTGTAAAGTAATTGTAATTTAATTAATTACATGTCTTAGAAAGCCTGTAATTTAATTGTAATTTAATTGAAGAAAAAGTCAAAGTAATTGTAATTTAATTAATTACTTTTTAAAGTAATTGACCCCATCCCTGCTTTAAAATTATGTTTGTTTGCCCTCTCCCAATGATGAAAAAATTAGGTCAATAGGAAAGCGAGAAATTTTTTTTCAAGAAAATTTTACGATCAATCCTAAAGTTTCAAAATGTAATGCTTAGCAAAATGCTTCCTGAGGTTAAAATAAAGTCTTCAAACAGGCCATCTTGTTATTTTCAGTCCATTGGTCGAAAGAGGACAAGCAAACAATTTTTTGAGATGGTCCTACAGCTGTGTGTGAACTCTGTATGACTTGTTCAGAGTTTCCTCTGACCTTGCTATCATCTTGGTTCTGGCAGGATTCTATGTACAAATCGTGAAGCTTCTGGTGAATTGATTTACTGCAACAAAAAGAGGACCTTCATTATACATTGTGTCTGTCAAGGACTCAAATATTAACTGATCATATTAATTACACTACATGTACTTTGGATGTTATTTTTAAGAATAAGCGTTTTTCTTTCACAGAAAGTCTTCAAAGATGACAGTTTATTCCATAATGAACAAAAATTAAAACATATTTTACCAATGAAGTAATTTATTTTCAGGAGGCAATTTGACTCTCACCTTTTACTGCTGGATGATGGCTTACACAGTGAATCAGGCCTTTGTTTAGCTGCCTGGCCTAAATACTGTTGAAAAAAAATCCAAAAATTTTAATGACTTTTATCACGTAGTATTGTTGCATGCATGTGTTTAAAAATTAATTTGATAGATTTTCTTGCATGCACTTCAAAGATCGTGAAATACTAGAGATGCAGGCTTTACAAGAAGTCTATTAGCCAATGTTGATAACTAATACTAACCCTGAAACAATTTAATCAAAATTATATGTTGGCAATGCTCCTAGTATAATGCCTAAAAGAGTGGATCTAACATCTGATTTTAATATAAAACTAAGCTCTTTGTTGAGTATGAGACAATAAGGAAGGCCTTAATTGTAAGGAAACATTGATAGATTATAAATTTTCAGTCTTATAATTATTTTACATGTAACCTGAATATTTAAGAAATAAGGTATCATTTTTTGAGTTTTATTGAGATCTATGTAAAAAGGGTTGGTCACATGATCAAATCCCATGAAGCCCGAAGGGCTTTATGGAAGATTTGATCATGTGCCAACCTGTTTTACATCCCAATAAAACTCAGAAAATGATACCTTATTACCTGTACTTTTATTTACATTTGTGACTTATTCATACTTTACATTTGCCTGATTGTTACTTTTAACTTGTGAAATGCGTTATTTTTCAAACTCAACGGCATGTATGTAATCCACTAAAAGCGCGTCAAACCTTTATGACATCACAGAGACATCACAGAGAAATTACATCGAATATTTGTCCAAACACATATTTATGACCTCTTGACCCCATACCTGTATCTATACAGTTATACATACGCATTGCTTTCAGTTGTGTTATATAAAGGAAAACATTTGCAAATGTAAATATTATGTCATAGTGCAGTTAGCTTGGCACCAGTGAAATACGGCTTATCTGACTATACACTTGTTCTACTAGAGACTCTGCTATTTCTGTAAATCTACAATTTCCTGGTCAGAGATTTAAGGAGACAGCTGAAGGTCTGGTTGAACAAGACTCCATTATGTGGCCGGTGTAGGACACTTCAGATTAGTGATGTGTTAATGAATAGTGCTGCATTGGTTTAAGCACAGTCCTCTGCAAGGTTGCTTGACCAAGTCCAGTCTAAAGACTATTTCTACCTATGTAGTTATTGATAGCGAGCTCAACAGACTAACAAGGAAATTTCGGAATGAAGTAACTCTCATCAGTGTGACTGTATAAAAAGATATGGTATTTACCATGTTGCTCCGTTTGGTCTTTAAATTTGGCCACAAAATGCAGATAATACAAAAAGTAGGTAAAAATAGCTACTTTGGGAATAGAAATAGTCATTAGACTGGACCTGTTGACCGTCCATTGATATGATTGAACTTCATGTATGTTATTACGTCATACTACAGTGTACACCATATAAGGAGCATGTACATACCTCCGCATACTCTACGGCTCTTGATAGCTTGTCCATGCTACATAACAGTCTGTCACCTCTTCTTACTTAGAAATCATAAATAGAATCTCAATCCACAACAAATGCATCTGACAATAATTTTAACCGACAAAATAAATTAAAACATTGTAAAAGGCTTTCAGATCAGAATTTAAATAACCACAAACCTTCTTTAAGTTTCCCGAGACATTTGTTAGAAACTCTAGAAGTTAGGCCTAATTTTTACTACATCTTCGATCGATATTGTTGACAATTTAGAATTACACGAACCTCGATCCCGATCTTTAAAAAAAATAAGATTTTTTAAGTTCGACAGGGGAGGTGTTTCCTCACAGTCTCACTCCTGAGAACTGAATATTACAGTGAATATTATTTTTGGTTTTTATGATACTGTAGTATGTTACATATATACTTTTACTTTTACATAATTAGATACACATGTAAAATTGCGAACAGACATACCCCCCTCTCAGTTCTTAATTTTTTATCTTTTCTTTTAATCTAATACTTTTCTTTGACACAATCACAGAGTATTATAACTGAAAATTCAAAAATGTAACATAAAGCTAACCTTGAAAAAAATTCGCCGTCTATAACTATGATACTGAAAGCCCCCCGCCCCCCCCCCCCCAGCTCTCCTACATGATTAAAAAAATAATAATCTATCATTCGGCTGATATGTTTCATACCAAGTGTTAGGCCTTTGTTTTACACAAGATTTGACTGCGAACAATTCTGTCTACCTGAGCAGTACTTAGGATGCTTACTCCCACTTGGCACCTGATCCTTAGATCCCACCCAGCTTTTGATTTTCCGGAAGTCTGTGAAGAAATTCGTAGGGAAAGTAGTGTGTATGGAGTTTGGTATCGAGGTAAGGGAAGCCACTCCTTTCCATCTCACTCCTCATAATCTATGGGATACATCCGATGTTTTAAAAGTTTATGTCCATGGGATTTATCAGTGTACAAATTATGGGGTGGGGGGTGGATCCCAATTGGCTTTTAAGATGTGATATTTTGAAAACAAAAATAGACATGTTTGTGACCCTGGCTATGATAAACTGCTAAGAAATCCCGCAAAGTTCTATAATTTATCGTTGACAGAAAGCTCTAGGTCTATGAATTTATTTTTGGACAACACAATCAGAAATGGGAGTAAAAAGTCTGGACAATGTCGTGTCCAGATTAATGTCGCAGTTACTAGTATATACTAGCTAGTGGGATACTATAAATTTTTAATTTATACATGCCTCCGACACCGACAAAAATATATTTATGTATATTCACAGGAGTCTGAAGTTTTAATCGTCAAAAAAAAAAAAAAAAAAAAAAAAAAAAAAATCCGGAAAAAATTTTTCCTACTCTTAACTAAAAAAACCCCAAAACACGTTGCCATCCTGGGGTTTTTTAGTTAAGGGTAGGAAAAATTTTTTCCGGATTTTTTTTTTTTTTTTTTTTTTTGACGATAAAAACTTCAGACTCCTGTGGTATATTCCATACTTTTAAGCATAGACCTAATTAAAGCTTTAGGTCTATAGATGTGTTACATTAAAGTTTTGCAATTTAAGAAATTCAAAACTATCTATAACAATTAGGTAAGCGTTAGTTTCTTTCTTTTGGAGGATTAATTTTTGCATTACTTTAAGAATATTGACAATTTTTAGGTATGTATAATTCCGGACTGGTGACTAGGGTATTTAACTGCATAATGTTATAATAATTTCTTGCTGATTTTGTTTACACTTTCTGTCCTGCTTTCTACGAATAAACTTCATCTTTAAATTTTAATTACGGACTTTTGATTTGTTCCAATCAGATCCTCTGTGAAAAGCGAGAAGCTCAGTAGCCAGTCAGAGCTGATGTACCCGAAGTTTCACCAAAGGTGTAAAACCCAGTGTGAAATATGGTTCACCTAATGTACTAAGCTACGTTTTACAGTACAATATGAGTAGTATAAAGGGTCCCGATAGCCCGGAAGATTCTGATTGGCTGAGAGAAATCATGTGATCAATTCTGATTGGTGGAGGGGAAAAGGGGGGTCAACTGAGTGGAGTGCTAACCCCCCTAACCCTAACCCTAACCCTAACCCTAGCCCCCCCTAACCCTAACCCTAACCCCCTAACCTAACCCTAGCCCTAACCCTAACCCTAACTAACCCTAACCCCCTACCCCTAACTAACCCTAACTAGCCCTAACCCTAACCCTAACCCCCTAACCCTAACTAACCCTAACCCTAACTAACCCTATCCCCCTTAGCCCTAACTAACCCTAACCCTAACTAACCCTAACCCCCTTAGCCCTAACTAACCCTAGCCCCTAACCCTAACTAACCCTAACCCCCTAACCCTAACCCCCTAACTAACCCTAACCTATTCCCCTTAAATACTGGAGTTGTTTACACAGTGTTTTTTACATTGGTACGTAGGTACTACGTTTTTTTTGTTTATGGACATAGGTAAATACTTGGCAGCGAGCCAAGTTTTTGTTTTAGAGCCGTGTGCAAAAAAAAAAAATATGCTGACTACACAGGTAAATACTTGGCAGCGAGCCAAGTTTGTTTAGAGCCGTGTGCAAAAAAAAATATGCTGACTACACAGGTAAATACTTGGCAGCGACTCAAATCCGTGATTATGACGTCACGCTTCACAGTCTAGCTTCATTTTTTGAAAACCTCATTACCAAGAAACAAAAGTGAAACTAACACAGATTTTGATTTTTATTCAATTTTTATTCACAATGAAAATACATACATACAATTTACATTTTCTGTTTCTTCTTCTTCTGTCCCTTATCAGTGGTCAGGGATAGTTTCCTCTTGTGAGTAGTGCTGGGGCCTGGAATCTCTCTGTTTTCTTCCTTTTTCTCTTTTTTGTCTCCTTTTTTCACTAAAGGTTTGGTCTGGTGGGTCCCTGAAATCTTGGGTTCTTGATGCTTTTTCTCCAGTTTTTGTATTTCTTTCACTAACTGGTGTGTCTTCCTTCCTTGTTGGCGAATCTTTTCCATCACTTCTTTTCTAAAATCACCTATATCATTATGAATTATCTGCATGATAAAAGCCATTTGATTTAAGATACCGCATATCATTCTCCTGTCATCTACATCTAAAAGATCCTGTGTTTCTGGTACGGTCTCCTTTGTATTTTCCTCTGTCATATTTTACCTGTGTTGA